GATGAAATATGGAAAGTCTGGCAAGTCCCTTGGTCAGGGAGTATGAATTACGACCGACCAGGTCTCACTAGGGTGGTTCTAGATCCCTGGCTCTATCTCCAGTTCTGCTTCTCTTGGCCTCCCCCTTGCTCTGAAATGAAGATAAGCAAGACATGAGTGCTCGGGAACCATTTGAGTTCTACCAGGTTTTTGCAAAGCACAGGCTTTTGGGGCTGTCTGTGGCCACTGCAAATAAGATGAATCAGAACAAATGGAAAGGGGAAGGAGCTAAGATTGTTCTCTCGCTCTGTCCCTTGCAATACTCAAAACACTCAGTCCAACATTTAAAAACAAACAAGCCTTAGTCCACATTTTCTAAGCATCCCCAGTGCATGGGACAAACAAGTAAACACGTATTTATAACACCAAGTTGAAAGTGCAGAAAGCAGCCCAGCTTTCCAGGGGAGGTAATCTTGCAGCTGGATCTTGAAAGAGGAGCTGGATTGGCCTGAGGTGGTGTTCTAGAGACTCGAGGGGCAGATGCCACAGCCTGGTTCTAAGAGCTGGAGCAATAAATGTGCTAGGAACTACTATAAGTTCAGTGTGACTGAAACACATTTATTAGTTGTGTGTGCATTGTAGAGGGCTGAGTAGTGGTCAGGGGGGAGTCCTAAGGCAAGTGGTCATAAAAGCCAAGAAAGGGGCTTTGGAAAACCATTGCAAGCTTTTAAGCAGCAGTGTGACAATGTCACTCGCTCTTTGGAAGGTTATGCTGGCTACTGTGGAGAACACATTAAAGGGGGAACCTCCAGCTGCTATAATCAGAAAAATGATTGAGGTGGTAGGGGAGAGGTAGAGGTGTAGGTGATGAAATGGATTTGACAGCTAAGAAGGCAGTGGAAGGGGCAGCATCTGGGTTTACTGTAATTACGATAACTATATTGACAACAGCAACATAATATAGTCATCTAAGCAATACTTTTGCATGAATGGGAATATTCCCCTTGGCCTTTTTCTTTGAAAAATTTCAAACCTCAGAAGAGTTGCAAGATAATTTCCATGAATATCCATATACCTTCACTTACATTTACCAGTTGTTATATTTGGACAGTTCCTGGTCTCTGTACCTTTTTCTCTGAACCATTTGCAAGTAAGTAGCAGAAATCATGACAATAAATGTCTAAATACTTGAGCATTTAACTCCTTTGAGTGAGACTCTCTTATATAACAGCAATACCGTTATCTTACAGAGGAAATTTAATAACCATCATAAAATTTACCAGGTTGGGCATGGAGACTCACGCCTGTAATCTCAACACTTGGAAGATCAAGACAGGTGGATTGCCTGAGTTCACAGGTTCCAGACCAGCCTGAGCAAGAGCAAGACCTCATCTCTAAAAATAGCCCGTGTTATGGCAGGCACCTGTAGTCCCAGCTACTTGGGAGGCTGAGGCAAGAGAATGCTTAAGCCAAGCAGTTTGAGGTTGCTGTGAGCTGTGATGCCACAGCACTCTACCAAGGTTACAAAGTGAGACTCTGTCTCAAAAAAAAAAAAAAAAGTCATATTCAAATTTCACCAATTGGCTCGGCACCTGTGGCTCAAGTGGCTAAGGTGCCAGCCACATACACCTAAGGTGGCAGGTTCAAATCCAGCTCGGCTTGCCAAACAAGAAAGACAGCTGCAACCAAAAAAAAAAAAAAAAAAAATAGCCGGGCGTTGGGGCAGGCGCCTGTGGTCCCAACCACTTGGGAGGCTGAGGTAGGAGACTCCCTTGAGCCCAGGAGTTAGAGGTTGCTGTGAGCTGTGATGCCATAGCATTCTACCCAGGGGGACAGATTGAGGCTCTGTCTCAAAAAAAACCAAACAAATTTCACCAAGTGGTCCAATAATGTCTTTTAAAGCTGCTCTTTTGAACTAAAAAATTTAATCAAGGGTTGTATATTGCATTTAGTCATTCTCCCTCTCTTTCTCTCTCCCTCTCTGTCTAGTGTTAGAAATGTTAGTTTATTTAAAAGAGAGAATCAGTCTGAACGCCTGTAGCTCAGTGCTTAGGGTACCGGCCACAGACACCAAGGTTGTCGGGTTCGAACCTGGCTCGGGCCTGCTAAACAACAACAACTGAAACAAACAAACAAAAAAATGGCCAGGCATTGTGGTGGGCACTTGTAGTCCCAGCTACTGGGGAGGTTGAGGCAAGAGAATTGCTTAAGCCAAGAGTTGGAGGTTGCTGTGAGCTATGTTGCCATAGCACTCTACTGAGGGCGACATAGTAAGACTCTGTCTCAAAAAAAATTTAAAAATTCAAAATAAAAAAAGAGAATCAAAATATAGGAGACTTAATCAGTTCTATTTTTCCTCTTTTTTCTACTTTTTTCTGAGACAGAGCCTCAAGCTGTTGCCTTGGGTAGAGTTGCTCGAGCACAGCAACTTCCAACTCCTGAACTCAAGCAATTCTCTTGCTTCAGCCTCGCACATAGCTGGAACTACAGGGCCCGCCACAACACCTGGCCATGTTTTGGTTGTAGCTGTTGTCGTTTGGCAGGCCTGGGCTGGATTTGAATCCACCAGCTCTGGTGTATGTGACTAGTGCCTTAGCTGCTTGAGCTACAGGCGCCGAGCCTAAAGACTATTTTTATAATTTTTTTTTTTTTTTGAGACAGAATCTCACTATGTCGCCCTCAGTAGAGTACTATGGCATCAGGGTTCACAGCAACCTCCAATTCCTGAGCTTAAGTGATTCTCTTGCCTCATTCTCCCAAGTAGCTGGAACTACAGGCGCAACACAATGCCCAGCTATTTTTTGTTGCAGTTGTCATTGTTGTTTTAGCTGGCCCAGGCTGGGTTGAACCCACCAACTTTGGTGTATGTGGCTGGCTCTGTAACCACTGTGCTATGGGCGTCGAGCTTATTTTTGTAATCTTTTTATCTTGAAATGGTTTCAAACTTACAGAAAAGTTACAAAAATAGGATAAAGAATGTTTATATAAGTTTCAGCCAGAGTCCACAATTATTTATATTTTGCCACATTTACTTTATCTTTCTCTTGTCTGCAAAAACATATTTGTATTTTTTTCTGAGCCATTTGAAAGAAAGTTGCTTCCCTTGTCCCTAAATATTACAGGGTGCATTCTCCTCTATCCCTCCTCTTCCCTTCCTGACAAAGTTTCACTCTGTTGCCTGAGACTAGAGTGCCATGGCCTCAGCCTAGCTCACAGCAATCTCAAATTCCTGGGTTCTAGTGATCCTCTTACTTCAGCTTCCTGAGTACAGGAAGAGATTACAGTTGCCCACCACCATGCCTGGCTAATTTTTCTGGTTTTAGTAGAGACAGGATCCCACTCTTGCTCAAGCTGGTTTCCAACTCCTTATCTAAAGGGATCCTCCTGCCTTTGCCTCCCAGAGTACTAGGATTATAGGTGTGAACCACCGCACCTGGCCTAGGAGGGGTGCAATTTCTAAGGACATTGTCTTACATAACCACAGTTCAAGTGTCAAAATCATTTAACACTGATATCCATATTCAAATTTTGGAGGGAGAAGAATCACGATCCAATCAAGGATCACATATTGCATTTAGTTGTTGCACCTCTAAAAAATTTAAAAATAAGTTTTAGAAATAGGGTATCCTTCTATTACCCAGGTTGAGTGTAGTGGCACAATCATGGCTCACTGCAGCCTTCAACTCCCGGACTCTCCAAGTACTTGGATTACAGGCACTAGCCTATTGTATATCATTAGCTTTCTTTTTTTTTTTTTTTTTTTTTTGAGACAGAGCCTCAAGCTGTCCCCCTGGGCAGAGTGCCGTGGCATTACAGCTCACAGCAACCTCCAACTCCTGGGCTCAAGCGAGTCTCCTGCCTCCGCCTCCCAAGTAGCTGGGACCACAGGCGCCCGCCACAACGCCCGGCTATTTTTTGGTTGCAGCCGTCATTGTTGTTTGGCGGGTCCGGGCTGGGGATTCGAACCCGCCACCTTAGGTGTACGTGGCTGGCGCCTTAGCCGGTTGAGCTATAGGCGCTGAGCCACATTAGCTTTCTTTAATCAGGACAATTGCGACCTCTACACCCCCACCCCCACCCCCGCCCCCATGTAAATTTCACAACGTTGACCCTTTTGAAGATTTCAGGCCGGCTGTTTTGAAGACTGTCCCTCACTTAGCATTTATCTGTTTGTGTACCCACGGATGAGATTCTGGGCAAACATGTTTGGATACTATAGAGCTGATGTGTCCTTTCTAGTGCAAAATATCGGGGGCACCTGATTGGGAGGTGCCGTGGGTTGGGAGGACCGGGAACCCACCCCTCAGCATCTTGCCCCTGCCGCGCTCACGTATTCTAGCAGGGTGTGGCTTCCAGCAGCCCCGTCCTGCCCTCAAAACTTTAGTTACTTTTCTACCATAAGCAGGATGTTGTATCCCTTGACTTTTTTCCTAAAGTTGAACCACAAATTTATTTTAAAGAGGATTTTTTCAAACTCTATTGTGTATGAGACATGAGACTGTTTTCCCTTAAATACAAGTAAAAAAATGCTTCTCAAGGTGATATGTTGACTGCTTCTAGCTAGTTACTGTTGCTTGCTGAAGGCTTTTAGCCTAAAGCCTAAAGTGAAGATGGTAAATTTGTTTGGTTAAGCTGGGTTGGAATTTTGGCTTCACATATAGCTAGCTGGGCAAGTTGGTTTTTGAGATGGCTTTCCTCAGCTGTAAAATGCGGGCGGTAATAATAATCCTGGTTTCAAGAGGTGGTTGAATTAATACATGTAAAGCACTTAAAGTGGTGTCTGGCACATTATAAGTATTCAATAAATTATTATTACTATTATCACCATCACTATTATTTTTGCCAAAAATTATAGCGAGTTACTCAATATGTGGGTGGGTGGTTGGGAGGACCATGAACCCACCCCTCAGCATCCTGCCCCTGTCGCGCTCACGTATTCTAGCAGGGTGTGGCTTCCAGCAGCCCCGCCCTGCCCCCAAACCCCGCCCCTCGTTTCTCTTCACGTCTACGGGCGGCTAAGGTGTTTTGGTCCGCGGGTGTATCCGTAGCCACAGTCTGCCCTGGCGTCTACAGCCGGGGAGCCGGGAGTCGGGAGTCTTGGACCCTGGGCCGAGGTCCAAGATGTCTGCCAGGCAAGGGAGGCAGAGTGGAGGTTCCTCGCTGGTTGGCGCGGTTTCTGTCAGCGACGTCCAGGAACTGATGCGGCGCAAGGACGAGATTGAGGCACAGATCCAGGCCAATTACGAAGTGCTGGACAGCGTGAGCGTGGGATCGGGGCTCCCGGACGGGCGTAGGGGGCGCCCCACGGCCTTCTGACCTGACTCCCTGAACTAGGAGGTCTGCGCGGCCAGGGCAGCCTCGGTTTGAGCGCTCGGCTTTCGATTTCTCTCCCGGAGAGGCCCAACGCGCCGCAACTGCGGCCTCTGTTGGCAGCGAGAAGTGTAGTCAAACGGTTAGGGCCGTATTGATGTCTAGCAAGAGTATGCATGCAACCTTTGCTGGGCGCTGGGCATGAGTTAGCTAATTAATCCTCGCAACAACTCGTTGAGGTGGATGCTGGACGGAGATGTTACTTAACGTAAACCTGTCTAAGGTCATAGAGCTAATGTTTGCAGAGGAAGGGTTATAGTCACCACCACCATCACAGGTCCTTATTGGACGTTTACAGGTGTCATGTGCTTTACTAACCACTTGACATCATAACTTCTTAGACTTCAGTGTTTATGTGAATCAGCTGGGTATGTTATTAAAATACACATTCTGATTGAGATGGGAGAGCAGATTCTCTAAACTTCCAGCCATGCTGATGCTAGTGGTCTTAGGGTTGTGATTTGAGTGATAAGGCTCATTGTCCTTAAGGGAGGTCTAGCGTGCGGCAAACCCTTGCCTAGGGTCATATAGTTAGAAGGTATTATATAGCAGCAATGGGTCCAGTTCCCAGGCGGGTCTGGCTTCAAAACTGATACAGGTTTTCTTCTGTAAGCTAGTTGAAAACCACAAATCCATTTGCAGAGGTAGTGTGGGATGGAAAGCATCCTAGGTGATGTGAGATGAAGGGAACTATTTTACTAGGTGCTTACTGTATACCTGAAGGGTGCTGGGGGTTATTTTGTTTTTTTTTTTATTTTTAATTTTTTAATTTTTTTTATTGAATGGTAACTGTGTACACTGATGCACTTTGGGGGTACAGTGTGGTGTTTTCATACACAATCCAAGACACTTCCATCAAAAGGGTGCTGGTTTGTGTGTATGCGAAATCCTCACAACTACTCTGTGAAGTTAGCATGTGCCCCTGCAGCTCAGAAAAGGGAAATCACAAAAGGGATTCATGCTTCAGGCCTGTTATATCCAGAACCAGTGCTTTTAAGCAAATTAACCAGCAATTTCTCAAAACTTTAGTTACTTTTCTACCATAAGCAGGATGTTGTATCCCTTGACTTTTTTCCTAAAGTTGAACCACAAATTTATTTTAAAGGGGATTTTTTCAAACTCTATTGTGTATGAGACATGAGACTGTTTTCCCTTAAATACAAGTAAAAAAATGCTTCTCAAGGTGATAATGTTGACTGCTTCTAGCTAGTTACTGTTGCTTGCTGAAGGCTTTTAGCCTAAAGCCTTGCTGGGTTTTTCCTTTTCTTTCTTTTTCTTTTTCTTTTCTCTTTTTTTTTTTTTTTTTTTTTGAGACAGAGTCTCACTATGTCACCTTGGTAGAGTGGGTAGAGTGCCATGGCATCACAGCTCACAGCAGCCTCAGACTCTTGGGCTTAAGCGATTCTTTTGCCTCAGCCTCCCAAGTAACTGGGACTATAGGCACCCACCACAATGCCTGGCTATCTTTTGGTATTTATATCATTGCTGTCATTGTTGTTCAGCAGGCCCTGGGCCGACCCACCAGCCCCAGGGTATGTGGCCGGCACCCCAACCACTGAGCTATGGGCACCAAGCCAGGGTTTTTCATTTTTAAAAATGGTGCTGGATGTGGTGGCACAGGCCTGTAATCTCAGCACTTAGGTTGCAGATGCAGATGTGGAGGCAGAAGGATTGCTTGAGGCCTAGAGTTTGAGTCTACCTTGGATAACATAGACTTCATCTCTACAAAAAAATAGGAAAAAATAGCTGGGCATGATGGGATGTACTTGTAGTCCCAGCTACTTGGGAGTCTGAGGTGGGAGGGTTGCTTGAGGCCTAGAGTTTAAGATCAGCTTGGACAACATAGCAAGACCCTGTCTCTAAAAAAAATAAAATGGAATGAAGCATTGATACATAATATAACATGAATAATCCTTGAAAACATGCTAAATGAAAGAAGTTAGCCACAAAAGATCACATATTCCATAATTCTGTTTATATGAAATGTCCAGAATAGGCTATGGAGACAAAGTAGCTAAGTGGTTGGCAGAAGAAGGGGGGAGAGGGAAAATTGGAGTGACTACTAATAGATCTGAGGTTTCATTTTAGGCAGTGATGAATGTACTAAAATTGGTGGTGTAAGTAGATGAAAAACCATCATTGCATTATACACTTGAAAGGGGTCTGTATTGTATGATATGTGCATTATATATCAATAAAACTTAAAAAAAAATGGAGAGTGCCAGAGATAGCAAGTGATCTAAGGGTGTTGTAAAGACCAGCACCAAATGGAGACTTTTTCTTTGATTATTGAAGGATCAAAGAGAATTGGAAAAGGAATACGTATTTTATTTATTCATTTGTTTATTTTGAGACAGAGTCTTATTTTGTTGCTCTCAGAAGAGTGCTATAGTGTCATAGCTCACAGCAACCTCAAACTCTTGAACTTAAGTGATTCTCTTGCCTCAGCCTCCCAAGCAGTTAGGACTACAGGCGCCTGCCACAGTGCCCGGCTATTTTTATTTATTTATTTAGTTATTTGAGATAGAGTCTCACTATGTCGCCCTCGGAAGAGTGATGTGACATCACAGCTCACAGCAACCTCCAACTCCTGGGCTTAAGCGATTCCCTTGCCTCAGCTTCCCAAGTAGCTGGGACTATAGGCGCCCACCACAACACCTGCTATTTTTTTGTTGCGGTTGTCATTGTTGTTTAGCATGCCCAGGCTGGGTTCGACCTTGGTATATGTTTCCAGTGCTCTAACCTCTGAGGTATGGGCACGGAGCCTCAGCTATTTTTAGAGATGAGGTCTGGTTCTCACTTAGGCTGGTCTCAAACCCATGAGGTCAGGAAATCCACCTGCCTCGGCCTGCCAGCGAACTAGGATTACAGGTGTGTGCCACTGTGCCTGGCCAACATTAATTATATTTTGAGACAGAGTCTCACTTTGGTGCTCTGGGTAGAGTGCCATGGCATCATTTTAGCTAATGGAAACCTCAAACTCTTTTTCTTTTTTTTTTTTTTTTAGAGATAGAGTCTCTCCTTGTCACCTTCAGTAAAGTGCCATGGCGTCACAGCTCATAGCACACAACCTCCAACTCTTGGACTTAGGCAATTATCTTGCCTCAGCTTCTGGAGTAGCTGGACTACAGGCGCCCGCCACAACGCCTGGCTATTTTTTGTTGCAGTTTGGCTGGGGCTGGGTTTGAAGCCTCCACCCTCCATATGGGGCTGGTGCCCTACCCACTAAGTCACAGGCGCTGCCCACAACCTCAGACTCTTGAGTTCAAGTGATCCTCTTCTCTCAGCCTCCTGAGAAGCTGGGACTACAGGTGCCCACCACAACACCTGGCTAGTTTTTCTATTTTTAGTAGAGCCAGAGTCTTGCTCTTCTTACTCTTGCTTAGGCTGATCTTGAACTCCTGAGCTCAAGATATCCTTCTACCTCAGCTTCCCAGAGTGCTAGGATTACAGGCATATTTTGGAGTCAGGGTTGTTTAATTCATGTATATGAACTCCCAGTGGCATGCCCTCCCCCTTGAGAAGCAGTATCTTATATGTATTAATTCTCAAAGGCTAATGAGTCTTTGTGGGAACCCAGGAGGCAGATACTGGTGTTTAGCTCCTGGTACATTTCTGCAGTATTTGCAAAGTGTCTTGTGTTAGAGAGACAGGAGGTTTGGGTGTAACCTAGAGGCTTACAGAGAGGAAGAGAGAAAAGAGAATGGGATCCTTATTCTCCATGTCGGTGTACATAGGGCATCTTATCTCTGGACTGACTAATAATTACAGCTGTCATGTATTACTTTCTATACATAATAGTTTCCTAGGGTGCCAGAACAAATTACCAGTCACTGAATGATTTTGTCTCAAGATCTTTAACTTAATTACATCTGCAAAGATCATTTTTCCAAATAAAGTCAAGTTCATAGGTGCTGGGGTTCGGACATGGGTGTAGCTTTTAGGGGGCTACTATTCAATCCACTAGACAATATGTGTGCTTGGCACTGTGCTCAGTACTCTTTATGTAGGTGAATTCACCAGTGCATGCAACATGTAGGAAAGGAGGTGAGTGCTACTATCCCCATTTCATAACTGAGGAAGCTAAGGCTTAGAGAGGAGAAGGTCTTAGACAAGGGTGGCCAGTTTGTACGTGACAAAAGCATCTAGTGACTGGTGTCTTTTTAAAGGAAAGATAAAAGGAGATTTGGAACACAGAGACATAGACCATGTGAAGATGGAGGCAGAGATTCAAGCTACAGCTATAATCCAAGGACTGCTGGCAGTACCGGAGGCTGGGGGAGAGCATGGAATGGATTCTCCCTCGTAGCCTCCAGGAGCTAACCATGCCGACAGCTTGATTTCAGACTTCTGGTCTCGAGAACTAGGCGATAATAAATGACTGTTGTTTTAAGCAACACCATTCTAATTTCAACAAAGGAGAGTATACTTATGCATTACTTGTGTTATTGAAAATGAACTTAAAAAATAGTGCCCACTTCAGAAGGTAGTTGTGAGGATGTGTGTAGAGCACCTGGTTTGTGCTGAGTGATAAGTCTATGGTGATTTCCATTGCTCTCACTTTTATTATGACTTTGAAGGAAGAGGGTCGGGGGAAAGGCATCTTGAAGATGTTAGACCTGTGAGATCTTTATAACTATGTTTCTTCCCTTCAGCAAAAAGGAATTGGGATGAATGAGCCGCTGGTGGACTCTGAGGGCTACCCTCGGTCGGATGTGGACCTATACCAAGTCCGCACTGCTAGGCACAACATCATCTGTGAGTGGCCCTTTCAGGGGATGGTCCCTTATCATGTGGCGGGGGATGTTAAAGACAGACAAATTAAGTCACCAATAGTTGATGTTTTCTGCTGTCCTCTCTTCTACCTTGACAGGATTATCTCACTGTCCCCATCAAGGGACTGAGAACCAAGGGAATGGGCTAGACTCTAGGGTTCTATAGTTCTTCTTTTTGAGGCAAGGTCTTACTCATAGCTTCTGGGCTCCAGTGAATTGCCTGCCTCAGCCTCTTGAGTAGCTGGGACTACCATGTGCCACCATGTCCAGTTAATTTTTCTTATCTTTTGTATAGGTTGGGTCTTGCTATGTTGCTCACGCTAGTCTCCAACTCCTGGGCTCAAGCAGTCCACCCATCTCCATCTCCTAAAGAGCTGGGATTATAGGCATGAACTATCATGCTCAGGAATTTCTGTTTTCCCCTCTTTGGACCTTCTGCCTGCATGAAAAGATAGGGAATGTACTTTACTAGATGCATGTTACTCTCCCAAATCTTTTATGTATTTGTTTTTAAGTAAGGAACTAGCAGAGAGTGGAAGTTGGGTGGTATATTCATTTTCTGTTTTTGCCATAACAAGTGACCACAGACTTAGTGATTTAAACAATAAATATTTATTATCTTATAGCTCCAGAGATGAGAAGTCTAATTGGTCTCACTGGGCTAAAATTAAGGTGTGGGAGGGCTAGTTCCTTCTGGAGGAGAACCCATTTTCTTGCCTTTTCCAGCTTCTAGAGGCCACCCACATTCCTGATGCTCTTCCATCATCAAAGCCAGTAGTGGTATCTCTCCAACCTCTGATTCTGTTGTCACAGCTCCTTCTCTCACTTTCCTGCCTCCTTTTTCACTTATACAGAATCCCTGTAGGGCAGTGCCTATGGCTCAGTGAGTTGGGCACCCGCCCCATATACCAAGGGTGGCATGTTTGAACCCAGCCCTGGCCAAACTGCAACAAAAAAAATAGCCGGGGGCAGCACCTGTGGCTCAAAGGAATAGGGCGCTGGCCCCAAATACCAGAGGTGGCGGGTTTAAACCCGGCCCTGGCCAAAAAATAAAAACTGCAGGAAAAAAAAATAGCCGTGCACCTATAGTCCAGCTACTTGGGAGGCTGAGAATCAGGAGCTGGCGGCTAAGCCTAAGCCCAGGAGCTGGAGGTTGCTGTGAGCTGTGATGGCATGGCACTCTACCAAGGGCAACAAAGTGAGACCCTGTCTCAAAAAAAAAAAAAAGAATCTCTGTGATGACATCAGGCCTACCTAGAAAATCCAGGATCATCTCCCCATCTCAGGGTCCTTAATGTGATCACATCTGCAGAGCCCCTTGTGCTGTGTAAAGTCACATATTAACAGGTTCAGAGAATTAGGATGTGGATGACTTTGTGGGCCATGCTTCACCCTGTCACAGGGAGGCAGCCAGCAGACACTACAAAGCAGAAGGGAATTTATCATCTGCATTTTTCAATTAATGACTTCTGTTTAATCTGTTTACTGCAGCATGTTTTGGTGTAAGGTCCTGCTTCTCAAATTTCTTAGAGTCTCAGCTTTCCTGGATGATGTTGGGAAAAGAAGTGTTTCACTTTTACATTAAAACAAATAGGAAGATACATGTTAAGACAATTGTTCTTAAGGGAAATTTGGGGCTTTTGGCTAAACCTGTAGAATCCCCAGGGATGGAGTCTACTGGGGGAAATTTGAGAAGCGCTCCCTATCATGTGGGTGTGGTGATTTTTATTTTTCTCCAAATTGTTAGCCTGATTTTCCATCACCATTTATTTAATAGTCCATTCTTTCCCCCTTAATTTGAAATGCTGGAAGTATTACATACTAAGTTTTTAATGATGCTTAGGTCTATTTCTGGGCTTTTTACATTGTTCCATTGATTATTCTTTGGATGCTAATATGCCATCGTCTTAATGACTTTATTATACTTAAGAATTTGGTTGATTGGTCTTCCTCCTTATTGGTCTTCTTTTGAAAAACTATTCTTAGCTCAACGCCTGTAGCTCAGCAGCTAGGGTGCCACATAAACCAGAGCTGGAGGGTTCGAACCTGGCCCGGGGCCTGCCAAACAACAATGACAACTACAACAACAAAAGAATAGCTGGGCATCGTGGAGGGCGCCTATAATTCCAGCTACTTGGGAGGCTGAGGCCAGAGAATCGCTTAAACCCTAGAGTTGGAGGTTGCTGTGAGCTGTGACACCACAGCACTCTACCAAGGGCAATATAGTAAGACTCTGTCTCAAAAAAAAAAAAGAAAG